CAATTTTAGAAAATTTCTAATGATTTCCTGGTAAGGAAGATTAGGATCCATTCCTACTCCCTGTAAAATACACACCACAAATAAATGTGCACACCCACATGCCTGAAATTCTTACCCTCTCCACTGCTATATATGTTGATCACAATTTTTGATCTTATCAATATACTGTGTTTACACCRTTATGACCACATAAATAATGTTTAATGTTTCATTCATYRCATATGTTTAACTTATRTTTGAACAACTTATGCCAATTCCTAATTTTCTGGTTATTWTCTTATATATAAATGCTTAGATTGATGTTTCAAACTTCTAGAAATAATTTTCTAAATGTTTAAACTTTAGATTCTCTCTTTTATTTTTTTTATCTTTGATTACACCTGCTTTATACTTAATGTGGACAATTGGTTGCTTCCTAGGCCTAGTGTTCAGGACCCTCCCTCACTCCCTTAAACTCCCATCTTTATACATAAATTCTCTTGATTCCTGAAGCCCCTGACTGGCTCTGCCTTGATTGCGAATATTTGGATGGAGCATATGCTCAGTATCTTCCTGTGAAAATGAAAAAGGGGGATAAATTTGTACCAAAGATGGATTTAAAAACATAGGTTTTTGTTTGTTGTTGTTGTTGTTGTTGTTGTTCTTTTGTGTTAGTATGGATTTTTCTTTTGGGTGGTGTTTTTTGGTTTGGTTTGGTTTGGTTTGGTTTGGTTTGGTTTGGTTTGTCCTGGGCATTGATCCAGAGGCACTCTACGTCTGAGCCATACCTAAAGCCTTTTGGTTTTATTTTGAGACAGACTGGTTCAGGCTAGTCTTGACTTCCACTCAGCTTCCTGCTTAAACCTCCCAATAGTTGGAATATAGTCTTGTGCCACCACACCCGGCTCTTACATTTTCTATTAACACGCAAAATAATCGATGCTCTTTGGAACTCTGATGCCCTTCTGATTCATTCTTCTTAACATAAGACCTGGTATATTTCTAAAAGTTTATGTGATTTTTTTAAACTTTATTTTGATGTTCTAAAATTGATTACAGGACCCCTTAGTTTCAGTTTTTCTAAAGAGTAAACCTCTGTTCCTATGAGAGGAAAACAGTTAACTGCTCAAAGRGGATGCAGAGGGTACCTGCACATAGAGGGACTCCTATTTTCTGCCTCAGTTTTCTCTAATTTGTTTGATATATGGTGCTTCTAAATGCTGAACCTTATGGATATTTTTAGGTACACAGATTGGCTTTTCCACAGTATTACAACTTCTTCTTCTGACATACAGGCTACAGTTTGAAACTCTCTGCCAAGTTGTATTCCTTTCTTCTGCCCTCTATGCTTCAGAAAGTTGTTGAAGGTTTGTTGCCTGTTTCCTCTATTCCTCTTCTCACACTTTAGAAGAAGTAATTTGCATTTGTACTCTGGTGACACAGCACATTCAATAAGGAAACTTCTTTAAGAGAAATAAGGTGGAGGACACTAGCAGTGTCTTGCCAAGTTTCTATTGTAAAATTCACCCTGCTCACCATCTGTAGTCATACCTGTGACCTCTGTGTGCTTCAACAGGAGCAGGAGTCCATATCTCAGAGTAGTGCTTGTTGTCTCKGTTCCAGCTCCAAACAGATCATTAACAATGTTTATTAAGGCTTCAGTGGTAAATTCAGTCTGTGGATTGCCCTTTTCCTATAAATAATTCAATGCATTTATTTCACAATTAATTTATTTATAATAATTTACAATCATACGGTTATAAAATTAGGCCAACAGAGAATCAAAAGACTATAATATTATTAAAAGCTACTGTGTGATATGGTAAACTACAGGTAAATTGACTAAATGTCTGCTTGCGCCTTGTTGCCTAAAGATTCTATTCACCATCCTTTTTGTAACTAGGAAGGACATGCATCATATTTCTTATCAATAAAATACAAGGGAAAGTCTGTTGATGCCATTTCTCTTTCCTTCTTCCTACATAATATATATATATATACATAAAATGATAGACCCATAGTGTAGGCCAGACAGAAATCATTTTGAGATTGCAAGATTTAATCATGAAGATAAAAGCTAGTATATTAAGTACAATGTGTGATTTCATTTTCTGTTGCTATAACAGATTGCCAGAAACTGTGTGATTTACAAAGAAAAGAGATTTATTCTGTCCTGGCACCTCTCAACACTGTTTCATTGGGAAACAACTTTCAACATAAGTTTTGGAGGGGACAAACCACATGCAACACATAACATATGGTGCAGGAAAATGGAAGGCACCTGAGTCTCTGATGTTTCTTGGCTATGGTACTAAACCTAGTCTAGCCCACCACAAGTCTTCCTTATATGTTAGATGACTAAATACAATTTTTAAATTTCTGGTAATTGGTTTTCCTTTATTTGTACATAAAGATGATAATAATTGATACAAATAGGTAAATTACGGCCACATCATGGTAGATAAAATTACATAAATCAAGAACACACAATTTTCTTCTTCTGCTAAAGAATTTACTTGGAATTAGGATTTCCCACACACTCATTAGGAACTGKAAAATATGCAAAAGATAATATGGCAGCACAGTCTAAAATAAACAAAAGAGAATGAATTGGAAAGAAAATATATTTCATATGTGAGGCAACAGATAACTTAGGAAAAAATTATAAGAATAAGTTCAGCAGGAAATTCACCCTGTTCTTAAGACACAAATTGAAAAATATACCACAAACACAAAGACAGAGAGTTTAGGTATTAACTGTTCATTGAGAATTAAGGGAAAGAGTAGAGATAATGCAGATTCTGAGGATAAGAGGCTGACTCGATAGAGCTCTCATACATTGGAAATTGAGAAATAGAAAGTACTCAATAAGAACAACTAATTTTGATTTTGGACTGAGGGTATTRCTTGCCACAGAGTTGACATCAACAAAGGTTAACTTTAAATATTGACTAAAGATTTGAAAATATAAAATAACTCTAACACATGAATTACATATATAAAATATGTATTTTTATAACMAGTTCATAGGTGAGAATTTATTTAATGGGGCTTATATAAGCACCAGATGGACTATAGGATGTTCAATAATATGTAAGCAACATTTAGAGAGACAGYTATCTCAACAGGCATATTTCCTGGATAAGGTAATATTGACTTTACCTAGTTTTCTAAGATTGTCCAATCAAAATTTCAAAGAAGACCCAAATAGGAATATATTGTGCAATAGGCAGTGAAACATTTRGTGTCATTAAAATAGAAGTACTGCAATTAAGGAAAATGGAAGACCAAAGGAACCCACAATAGAGTAGCAGCTCCCCAAGTATGAATYAAAACATCAGTTCTACAGAGAAAAACTGAGGTCAGAAGACTGTGGGAAATTTTCATTAAGGCAGCAGACAGGTGAATCCCAAAAATATCAGGTGCTACAGTAGAAAGAGAATTAACAAAACAACAGACAGCCATACCATTCAGTGAGTGGTGGCTCAGGAGGGAAGATGAAGCTCCTTTCCCATTAGATACATGAATATCTGCTACTAAGTTTAAGAAAAGCAGACATAATTGTCCAACAAAGTCACATTTGAACAGAAAATAAACTCAGATGACATGATCCTATACTTAGAAGTACCCCTCCCCAAGGCCAGGCATGGTGCTGCTGCACTCCTGTAATCCCAGCAGCTCTGCAGGCTGAGGCAGGAGGGTCACCAGTTCAAAGCCAGCCTCAGCAAAAGCAAGGCACTAAGCAACTCAGTGAGACCTTGTCTCTCACTGAAATACAAAATGTGGCTTAATGGTCAACTTCCCCTAAGTTCAATCCCAGATATGTAGAACTAATTTTTTTTTAAAAATCATGAATATAGCAAGATACAAGATCAACATACAAAAAATCAATTGCTTTCCTGTATTCCAGTAATGAATCTTCTGAGAAAGCATTCAGGAAAACAATTCCATTCAAAATAGCCTCAAAATGGCAACATTACTAGGAATGAATCTAACCAAGAAAGTGCAGATATCTACACTGAAAATCATAGAATACCAAAGAAAGAAATAGAAGAGAATCAAAGAAGATGGGAAAAATCAAAACCCATGTGTTTGATTAGGCAGAATTAATATTATTATAATGGCGATAATACCAAAATCACCTATAGATTTAATGCAATCCTGATCAAAATACAAATGATACTCTTCACAGAAATAGGAAAATCAGCCCTAAAAATTTATACAGAGAAACCAAAGACCCAGAATATCTAAAGCAAAACTGAGGAATAAGAACAATTCTGGAAGCATCTCAATACCTGATCTCAAATTATACTACAGAGTTTTAGTAATGAAATAGCATAGTATTGGCAAAAAAAAAAATAACAGAATAAAAGACACAAGATGTTTTGCCTCACTTTGTGTCCAGGGATGTGGAATCAGGAAACACAGATTGAACCTCTGTAACAATGAGCCAAAATAAATGTTTCCTCTTCTGTGTTGTTCTTGTCAGATCTGGGGTCACAACAAAGAAAAAGTTGACTAAAAGAAAAAAAAATGGTATTGGAATTGGGGCCACTGCTGTGTCTAACCTTTCCATGTGGTTAATAAATCTTTGGGATTCGTTTGATGGAGGAGGAATTTTGAAGTTTAGAGATGCAAGCTGCAAAAGCGTTAGAATGTTGTAAGTGGAGCTTAAAGAGTGATTCTGGTGGGCACTCAGAAAACCAGAAGGCTGACATAACTGTGGACAGTTAAGACTGGGCTCACTTGGTTTCAAACAAGGGGACTCTTGGAAATTGAACTGGAGGGCATTCATGTTTTGTTCCAGTATGTTCTACATTTTTCCAGTACCCTGAGACTATCTGTGAGGCTGAATTTAATAGTCCTAAACTAATTAATCTGGCAGAAGAAATTTCAAGGCAATACAGCATTCAGCCTGTGTCACAGATCTTTCTAGTGACTTTTAGCCAACTGTACTGTGATAACCAGAGGCAGAAATAAAAGCAGAAAGATTTGAAAAATTGATGTTTGGCCATAAAAATCCAAGTAAAACTGGGATACAGAATTTGTGGTTGTTAAAAACATTACAGCTACTAAATGATGTTATTATTTTAAAAAGAGACAATAGGAAAGATGGTTTGAGGGCCTCTCAGGAATTGGCAAGACCACATCCATTTGAGAGGAGACCATGGCAGCACCATGCTTGCATAAAGATATTTTATGGAATATCTAGAAAGATGTTTCAATGTGCAGAATGATGCAGATAGAGAGACTGCTGTATCCATGGTCCCTGGAAGCTTGGCTGCTGCTCCAGATGTTGGCATATCCTGGTGTCAACCAATAGAGATGCAACATGCCAGAATYTCTGGAACCCTAGGAAGGCAGTTCTTAGACAAGAGTTTATAAACCATGAATGAATACATTTAAAAAATCTGAAATAGCCCAAATACCTAATAATGCATCTCMAAGMTTTAGAAAATTTAGAACAACMTAATCTCAAMTATTWTAGAAARAATGAAATAATTAAGATGYAAGCTGAAATTAATAAGAGAACAAAAAAGTRCAAAGGATCAATGAAACAAAGACTTGGTTCTTTGAAAGGATCRAACAAGACTGATAAAACAGCCAWACTAAACAAAAGAGAGAAGATAYAAWTTAACAAAATYAGACATGAAAAAGGAGCTAGTTCCAGAGAATCTCTGAAATCCAGAG